ATATATTTTTTTTTTTTTAATTACCTATTTCTTTAATAAAACTATTAAAAGCAAGAGCTGACAGATTTCAGGACAGTATCTCAGGTGAGGAGAGGAAGAAGGACTCAATAGGAGAGGGATATATGTTATAAATAATGCTTTTAAATAATTATTGGTACATGGGGTATACATTATATTCACTCACACACACACACACACACACACACATACACAATCTTTCAGAATAATTTAAAAATGTAAAGGCTACACGTGTTATGATGTCATCCTTAATCCTGGAATTCAATCCCTAGTGACTTGTGAAATAACAGCTCTTACAGACGAAAAGCTTGATATGAAAACAGGGTGCTCTGGCGCTGTGAAGTTCCTGTGCCCACTTTAATCCTTCAAAGGTCTGCTCTGAAGATCTGTGAGTCCGTCCCTGGATTTTCCCTCATGGGCCTGGTACCTGCGTGGCCCCTTCCCAGCTAGTTAGAGCTACAGGAAGCAGAGTGCGCTGGCAGGTGTGCGTGCGTGTGTATAACTGTGTGCAAACAGGCACTTCGTTTCCATGTCTTGGTGTTCCTAGGAAGAGCCACATCCTGGAATGCTGACCCACAGGGAGAGGGGTGAATTCAAACATTATCAGATTCTATTAGATTGCAATTAGCACAGGATGTTCTTCTTTAGATCATTTAAAATTACTTCCTAATCTCACTGCCCGAGAGCTGCTCTGCCGGGCACTCGTACAAAATAATTTTTTCCATACACAAATTAAATAGCACGAGAGTGAGCTCCCCCAAAAAGAAAGGAAATGAGAGGTGCTCGTGGCCATCTGGCTGTCCTTTGGGAAGCGGGTCCCTGGGGAAAAGAGACCTTGTTTCCCGGGGGCGGGCGGTGCCAGCACTCAGAGTTTGATCAGGTGGGGTGGCAGAGACGAAATCTCTGCCTCTGATCAATGGTAGCTCACAAGCCTCTCTCCAAAAAGCAACGAAACAACGTGGCACTGTGAAAGTGATGCGGCGGGAACAATAAAGAACCCAAAGGTTCACAGCTGGGTATGAAATACAAAATTCTCTTCCTCAGCACCAAAGAAGCAGAACAAGTTTAAAGTTTGCAGTGATGAGGTGAGACTCCACAAAGAAGTCTTCGTAAAAAAGTACGTGGCTTTTGGGGTACAGACTTGTTGGCTTTGTCGGCCCGGCACCCATCCAGCCTGTTACTCTGGACATTTTTCAGACCCTCAGCACAGCTCTGCTCTTGACCCAAATGGTTTAGCGGGGGCAGATGATCCTGGCTCTGAAAGAGCCACGTGGCCCAACTTTGGCCACTCAGAGGCCCTGTGACTTGTGCTGGGATAGGCACCTGACCTCGTCACAGCCCGTCAGGGTCCCCCCATGCCCCAAGCTGTGCGAAATGGAGCTGCGCCCGTCTAGACAGGCAGACACCCCACCCCCAAGATAGCTGTGTCCTTGGCACAGCGGTAGGAAAAAGGAAGTGGTGACACATTTCCTAAGGTGCCTCAGTCTTACCGTCATCATAGGAGAAAGAAGGAGGCAAAAGGAAAGACTGATTTTCACGATGAAAATGCAAGCTTCTTCTAAGCCTCTTCCATTTTAATCGAACAGTATAGGGAAGACATCCCTTGGGGAAAAAATTTAAAAAGTGAAAAAGCATAGTAAGAGTTTTTAACCCTGCCTGAGGATTTAAGGACAGAGAGGGCAAAAGAAAAAAAAAAATCAATCATATTTTTATTCAAGTAGCCAGGTAGGATGGTGCACTACTGTAATCTCAGTCCCTAGGAGGCTGAGGCAGGAGGATTGCAGAGAGTTTGAGGTCAGCCTGGACTACACAGGAAGTTCAAGACCAGCTTGTCTCAAGACCCTGTCTTAAAAAACAGACAAACAAAAAGCTATTTAGCTTCACGTGAACACTGGTGACCTGATATATAACTGCTATTGGTCAGCAATATTAGAAAATGTTTAAACTGGGGACCAGAAGCTCCCTGCTGCAAGTATAACGTGCTAATTGGTTAATAGCCAACTGCAAATGACCACTCGTAACACTTACAGCTAATTTCTAACACAGCATATTCCATATGACTGTAAGGAAACCATCGCTGCTACTTATTTAGCATTAGCTATCATTTGGCACAGAAGCCCAAAACTTCCACTTAGCAAGATTTTGATAAAAAATAGGAAAGTAGAAAGGCTGAACTGAAAGGGCAGTGAATCTGCCTTCCAATATTCTTTTTTTAGCAAATGCAATCATTTTGTGCTAGTGGTTTCTCAAGCACAGTAATTATCAGCGAGGATTCTACAGACAGCCTTCAGATGTCTGACATTTGCCTTTCCTACAGATTTGAGGCTACAGGCAGAAGTACAAAAATGTGTTTTATCTGATCAAAATAAAAAACCGGGTGCTTCATGGAAATCCTTGTTAATAGGATGAAAGACAAGATACAGATGAGGAGAAAATACTTGCCAAACCACATGTTCAGGAAGAATATGTAGACAAATATATTAAGAAGTCTCAAAATTCAGTTAAAGGTCAGGTGTGGAAACACAAACCTAAAATCCCAGCCTCTGGGAGGCTGAGGCAGGAGGACTGCTGAGAGTGTGAGGCCAGCCTAGGCCACATAGTGAGTTCAAGGTCAGCCTGAACTGCACAGTGAGACTCTTGTCTCAAAAGGAAAAAAAAAAGTTTAATTTAAAAAGTTAACAATCTAGAAATGAGCAGAAGACATGAACAGACACTGAAGAGGATTTATGGATGGCAAATAAATACGACAATATATTCAACCTCATGAACCATAAATGAAACGCACCTTAAACTATAAGGGGATGCCACATACACCTTCACAATGGCTAGAGTAGGACACTAAATGCCAGCAAGGATGTACACAAACTAGATATTCCTGTATGTAATGTGGTTCAGTGTCTCTGGAAAGCAGCTGGACAGTGCTTTATAAAACTAAAATATGCAAATATCCTCTGACAGAAACCTACCCAGGAATGTTCACAGCAGCTTTGCTTCCTAACAACAAAAACCGGAAACAGCCCCAGTGTCCCAGCGGGTGAGTCGACATCCAGAGACAAGGTCTCACTGAGTCACTGAGCTGCTCAGGCTGGGCTTGAACTTGCGATCCTCATGACTCAACCTCCCAGAGTGCTGGGCCGACGCCTGGCGGATTCCTCTTGTGGAACATTCTGGAAATGATACAATTCCTGAAATGGAAAAGAGATGAGTGGTCGCCACACCCGGCGTGTGTGCCTGGAGGTGCTCATGGTTACAGAGAGGCCGAGCCAGCCCCTGGTGGGGTGGAAGCTGCCTGCGTTGAGAGGGTGGTCGACCCAAGCCACGCGTGTGATAAAATGGCACAGAACTAAACACACACGTGCACATACACGCAAATGTGTATGGATGACAAGGATTCCGATTTCATGGTGTGAAAGCAATACACCTTCGGCAGAAGCCAGGCTTTTAATTCTGATCTTTCCTGGGCCAGCAATACTATGCAGTTCTGTACTCCCTTGTGATGTGGGGACAGACAAGGAGCCACAGGTCCCAGTCAGCCAAACCATCACAAGTTCAGCAACCCATTAGGTTAGGTGTATGAGATGCACTTTGTTTTTTCTGTGACGGAGTCCGCTATGGAGCCCAGGCTGGCCTTGAACTCACAGTGATCCTCCTGCATCAGCCTTCTGAGTGCTAGGATGACAGGAGTGCGCTACCACACCTGACTCACAGTGTTTTCAATGTAAGATGTTGAGCAGCATCTGTACAAATAAATAAGAGGCAGACTGTACTGATGCTAATGTATTCATACTAACGTACTGCTGGGAGAAAGGCATCACTATTATTCCCTGTGACTACCCGTGAACCACTAATAAAATCCACATTAAAAGGAAACTTAGTGACCATGTCTCAAAATAAAAAATGTAAAAAGGACTGAGAATCTAACTCAGGGCAAGGGCTTTGGGTTCAATTTCCAGTACCACACACCCCCAAAAAAGTATAATTGAAATATATTTTTCATTTAGGTGTGATTGTTCATTTCCAAAGGACAAGTTTTGGGTTTGGGAGATGAGGGAACAACACCATGAGTTGGTTTGCATTTCTGTCTCTGGAGAAGCTGTCTGTCCCTGGGTTCCAGGCCTTGTTGCCCCAGAGAAGGGGCATAGTTCATAGATTTGATTCAGCTTCAAAATAACTCCTTACATCTATTGAGCTGTTTAGTAAAAAATGTACATGATAGGGTTGTGTAGATAACTCCTCAGTCTCGTGTTTTACTCTGTTCACCAATCAGCATGGTTTGAGTCTTTGTTTTCTATCATATACACCCAGGTTATATAGCATTAGTGCTGCTACTCCTAACCATTTTTGTGGGGGGGTGTTTGATTGTTTTGGTTTTTTGAGACAGGATCTCGCTATGTAATCCAGGCTGGCCTCAAACTCACAGAGATCCTCCTGCCCCAGCCTCCTGAGTGCTGAGATTACAGGTGTCTCCACCATGCCCAGTCACTTCTAATCTCTCGATCCTATCTTTAGAAGGAAAGAGCTCGGCCATCTGATTGCTGTGTTTGACTCTTGGCTATCTACCAATTCCACCTTTCCAGAAGTCCACAGCAGGGTTAGAAAACAACGCAGATTCGGATGGCTTCCTTCATGCTAGGCGCAGACTGTTCCAGGCAGCTGGAGTGGGTGCCGCAGTCTCCCGTGTGGCCAGCCCGAGAGGATTCTCTCTCCTTAAGCCCAGACCGAGCCTGGAGAATGAGCAAGCTGCACGCCGGGCACACACTGCCTGTGGATGTGATTTGTATTTCTTCCTCCCGCTTTGCAAGGTACGGACAGTGAGGGCATGGGGAAGGGTTGGGGTGGGGTGGGTGCAGGGACATCTGGAGTGATGTCTTTAAACTCTGGGGCCCAGTGCTGTCTGCAGGCAGGACACCAACTGGAGAGTCCACCCCGGTCCTGATCATTCCTCTCTTCCTGGAATTGGGTCAGTATCTCCCTTCTATCACTCAGAGATCCAATTCTAGGTGATCCTGTGCCGCTACTCACAGACTGGATCCCGCTGCTCGCCAGCTAGAAAGCCTGGGTTCTCAGATGATTCATCTGTGCACTGAGGACAACAGTACCCACCTCAAACGGTCAGTGAAGATTTCATGAGCTAATACCTGTGCACACCCACGAGATAAGAGCTCAGTGATGTCTGCGGAAACAAAGTCGAACCGAAGGCCTGTTCCACTGTGCCACCGTTTGCTCCTTACAGTGAGACTTCCGGGATTTAAAAAGTGCCCCATGGAGGGGAAGGCCATGTTTCAGGGCCACTCCTCGCCAGCCGTCTTGCTAGGGGCCCTGGCGGGTCTTGGCCCCAGCTTCCTCCGCGCACTCCTCCGCTGAACACTGGAGGGCGATGGGCCAGCTTGCTTCCCGTCTGCTGCCTACAGTTCTCTCCGTTCCCAAGCCACTTGCTCCCACACAGAACAGTCCTTTTTGCATGCACATTTTGACCAAACAATCCCACTCCTAGGAATCTGTTCTGGGAAGGTAAGGCAGTGCGGACAGAGCTTTACAGCCAAAGCTTGTCGTTCCTCGCAGTGTCGTGTCGTTCTGAAAAGGCTGAGACAAGTCCCAGATCTACTATGTATGAAAAATCAAGGCCTGAGTATAAATGGTGACCTGCCCACGCGGGAATTACAGCGTGGCCATCGCAGATTGTACCGAGGAAGACTATGTCATTGCGTAAGGAATCACTTACGTAACGACGCTGTAAAAAGTATAATAAAAAGGCGAGGGCAGCAATAGCAGGTTGGAAAAAAGTATTGTGACACTGAATGCTGGCAGTGACCTGGGACAGCAGGGACAGTCACACCCAGGCACTCCATTCCTCAGCGTGCACCCGAGAGGACAAGTCAACCAGGACCCACCGCAGGAACACTGCGAGTCCCCGTCTGGAAAGAACCCGTCATCCACGACAGAATGGAGAGGGCAGCACCGCTGCTTCCCGATGAATGAACTGTCTCACAGCTGTTGCCCACGACGTCCCGCGTGAAGGAGTAAACTGGACACCCACCCTCTTGTCTCCCCTGACGGAGCGGGGTGTCTGCTGTACGTCATCATACTGACCCCCTCGGAGCTTTACAAAGGGCCTGCTGCAAATGCCAGTGCTCATGTCCCCTGCATGTCCAGGGCAAAATGGTCCACACAGGTCCAAACTATTTAGCTACTAAAGAGTAAGAACAAAACCCTTCTTCTCTGTTTTCTCACAGCATCTCTATAGTAGTCAGCACAGAGCCAGTAAGTGACAAGTTATTACTTATTTAACCTGCCTCGTCTGCTCCGGGTACTTCAAATGCACCAACTCTGAGTCACTGCACTGCCAAAGCCCTTGCCTGCTGTCTCTATGCTGTCGGGTGCTATTTTTTCCTTCATTTTACTGAGTAGCAACCAGGGCCTCAGAGCAGATTAAGTGACTTGATCAAGGCTGTCCAGCTTATAAACAGAAAGGGCAGAGTCTACATTTTAGGTCAGCCTGAGCCCCAGGCTCACCCGTCAGGTGCCTAACCTTGGACGATTTGTTTAACCTTACAGACCTCGATTTTCTCACCAGTAGAATGGGTAATTTCAAGCAATGTCTCTTGACCGGAAGTCTCTGCTGGCCTACTGAGAGTATGAATGCTGCAATCCCCTCACAAAACACTTCACACACCTGAACCTGGCCTGTCCCACGCCCCCGCCAGACCCACCCCTGCTGCTCCCAACTACTGACCGAGCATCCACCAGTTCCGGTAACCGCCCGAGGATGATCTGCACATTCTAAGCCTTTTGTTTTTCTGGTCTTCCTCTGAAGAAATAAAATAACAGGGCTCTTAAAACTCAGACTTGCATCATTATGACTTTATCCCTAGCCTGAAGAGTCTGTGTAAATCATTTCTATAATTTCCAAGCACTTCTGCAATTTCAGTTTTGCATTTCACTTTCACAAAAGGAGAAATCAAGTCGCACATTACTCGGGGAGTGAAGGTTCAATTTTGCGCAAGTATTTAGAAGTACTCACTGTCCTAGCCGACAGTTTGGAAAGGTTTGTCACAGTTCTAGTATTTCCTTCGCTGCTTCTCAGATCAGCCTGTGGCTGGTGCTCCTTCAGTGAGTATTTCTGACATTCCATTGATGTTTACTTCCCCTGGAAGGAACGTCTTTCACAAAAAGAGAAAAATGCTCTCCGGGGCCCAAGACAACAGGGTATCCAGCCAGCAAGAAAGAATTAAAATAATTATGTTATGATGAATTATTGGGGTAGGGGCTCTTCTACACTATTGGGAATGTAAACTGGCACACCCACTGTGGAGATCAGTGTGGAGGTTCCTTAAAAAATTAAAAAAAGAAATCCCATCTGACTCAGCTATTCTCTTTCTAGGTATCTTCCCAAAGAGTTAAAAACATATTACAGTGGCCCATGCACACTCATGTTTATAGCAGCACAACTCATAATAGCTAAAACTTGGAAGCAGCCTGTGTGTCTATCAGCAGAGGAATGGATAAAGAAAATGTATTTATACACAACAGAGTGCGACTCTGCCATAAAGAAAGATAAACTTGAGTCATTCGTAGGAAAACAGATGTACCTGGAAACTTTACCGTTACGTGAAATAAATCAGACACACAAGCTTAAATATCACGCGGTTTCCAAAAAAATCACAAGGATTCTCTTACATGAGAAACCCGAAGTATAAATAAAGAGCAAAATAAAAGACAGACAAGAGGAAGTAGGGAGTTAGCTCTTCCTCAAATGCGAAGGGCATTACGAGGTGGAGGGAGAAGGAGAGAGGGAAAGAAAAGGGATGAAAAAGGAAGTAAGATGTGTTAAGCACATGCAACTCCACATAGGGCATTTAAACATTATGTACTGTAAACATGGACTGATTTTAAAGAAGGAATTATCCGAAGTTGTTAGGAAGGTTACACATAGGCTTTGCATAACAGTAGGACGTGGTCAACAACAATATTCCTTTCAACTACCCAAAGGGAACAGTGAAGGCAACAGGAAGAAAAAGAAAAGGTCCGAGAAGAGAGCTGCCCCAGTTTATATGGCTCAGTTTTGAATTTCTGCTCCACTCAAAAGAACAGAAGTTGGCTGGGGATTTAGCTCAGTGGTTCCGCTGCCTGCCTCGTAAGCGCAAGGACCTGAGTTCGATCCCCGGTACCAAAAAAAAAAAAAAAGAACAGAAGTCCATTTCACTAACACTCACTAGTGCAAAACTATTCTCCAGACAACGCTCTAGGCTTTTCCCATTCATCATTATTTCTATCTAATCAGTTCACAGGTAAAATTGCATTGTTCTCAATGCAAAAATATCAGAACATTTTAAATACAGCCAATTAAATCCAGATTACTCATCACTATATATATTATGTACAAAATCTAGGTTCAGGAGCACATTCACACAATTGTGCTTTAAATATTTTCCCTCACATAGATATCAGGATTAACTGTATAAGAAATGATTGTCCAAAGCCCAACACAATAGACAAGAGTCCCATGTGTTGGGCTTGAGTGATTGGCATGTGCCTAACAAAACTGAGGAACTGAGATTTAAAACTTACTTAATTCTTAATCTGAAGACTAGTACAAAAAAAAAAAAAA